GCAAACAAATTTCCTATCAGTCAAACAAGGAGATATTGGTGCAGTTATAAACCAACTTTATATACACATTGTATATATATATATATATATCACAATATAGTATGTGAATGACTGGACAAAATTTCTCTGGAAGCAAAAGACTGGTTTCGCGATTCTTGTTACTCGTCAGGCATGCGTATCCGGTAATATTTTGCCAATTCATTCATATACTTGTACCCAGGAAGTGTAGTTTTGCCACAAAAACCCTATTTGCAACAGTGGATGATATATATATATATATATATATATATATATATATATATATATATATATAGCGCTTGAACGCCTAACCTGTTCCACAGTTCTTCCCCATAACTTTAGTGACGAAAGTATCACTTCAGTTACGGTGACTACTAAAATGAACAGACGAATCAATTAGTAGACCGTCTGTTCGAAAGTTCAATTAAAGAAACTGCGGTAGCGTAGGGCTGATAGCTACGTTGTTTGGGTATCTGTTCCTCTGGCCGATAATTCCACACTACCCTCATCTAAAATTTGATCTCCTGAGCATTTAAGATACATGGATTGGGTGTATTTGACATTGCATAAACACGATTGGTAGCTGTCTGACCAATAAAGACGGTGCTTTTAGATGAAATAGAAAATCTCTTCCTACCACAGCGTATAGTATCACTTGCACTCACGTTGAACAGTTTATCGACAAATGAGTGATGTAGAAGAAAAATTGGATCGTTGCTAGCAGTAGCGGTTCCGGCCATGCTGCCATTGATCATCACATGCACCTTGTTATGAGTCCATAGTACAGATGGATCGGTTCCTGGACGTCCGCAAAATCCTTCCAAAGCCATGTGAAAAGAGACACAGTTGGGGTTGTCTCGTTCCCCGGGGACGAAGTAGCTGATATGGAGTTTTAGAAAAAAAAGCTGTCGACTTAAGAAAAAGGAAGGAACAAACCGGCAAAAAGCCATATAATTCTTAATAAATCTAGATACATTCTCCATAAACTATCGTGAAAGGGAAGTTTTTAACGAAATCCATTAATAAACTTATTAGTATTGCTGCTAGTTATAAACCGAACAAATACTGTTGACTGCACACATAATTTCTAACAACTAGCTCTGTTTTGAGTTGCTTCCCGGACTAGAAATCGTTTTGTCTCCCTCCTCCTCACCATGATGATGATGATGATGGTGATGAGAACGGTGATCATTATCATTATTATCATTACAACCGAGGGGTTTCGAACAGAGTTTACCGGTGCTCATTGGATGCCATTGGTCCGTGAGTCCTGCGGAGTAAGTTGAACCTCTGCTATTGGATACCTTACTTTACCTTCGACTGAGAGTGAACAAGCTGATCGGCGAAAGTCCAATTGTCCATGCTTGGTCGATCAGTTTAGTAGCACTGTTGTCCGGGTGCCGGATGCCTCAGAGCTTCTATTTCTCCGTATTGACTAGACCACGGTTTTCCAAGGGATCATAATCTTGATCGGTGTTGACGAGTTGATGAGCTGAAGTGGTGAATAATTACCAAGTGTCGAAAAATTCTCCGTTATTTTGGGTCAGCTCTGATCGACAATGGAGGGGGTTTCGGAATAGGATTCATGTGTTTCTTGGCCTCCATACACTAAGATGAATGAGTGTGTATCATGTCTTTTGTTGACGTTCTAATATTCATGCACTATTATTGCCAATTTTGTTCCTCTTTGACGGATTAAAAATTCACTGCAATTTTTTGCCATCGATTTGTTATTGATGAAATGTTTGTGCTTCATTTACTGGTTACGCTTCCCAATAAACATCAATCGGTACTATCCAAACTGTCAATAAGGTTGTTTGAAAGTTTGTCGCATGCTTCTCGTTCTAGTTTATTGGTCAAGCTTTTCATATATCCGAACCACGTGAAGAACTCAGCATGTACCTATTCACTAAGCCGGTCAGTAGACTGTGTACAGGAGACATATTAATAAACTTCGACAGATTTTTCCCGACTGATCTAAAAAAACAAAGCACCTATATTACCGTAAAATGCAACATATGCCAAATAAAAGCTGAATAACCGATGGCCGAAAGCGTATCAAATGAGTAGCTTCTTGGAAGTTGATTCCAGATCAGTCGTATATATAAATTTTCTTTGTTTTTCTTCACTGAACGAGAAGGATTGGTTGACTATCACTGAAACTTGGAAAGCCCCACCAAGGCGAGTAAGGAAATACAAATAGGGACATTGGAAATGTAAATACGAGTACACATCATCTCATTGTAATGTGTAATTGATTTTGTGGAATAAAAGCAATCTCGCAACAATATTATTCTCCATGTATGGCTGAAGATGGTGTTGATGAGAAAACAATGGTTTACACTAGTGGAAACACCATTGATTCAGTATACTATACTATACTATACTACTATACTATACTATACTATGGAACATTCATACGACTGAGCTAGAGAGACAGAAAGAACAAAAATAGAGTTCTACTCAAGAATGAACAATGCCAGATTTGTATTAGTTCCTTCAGTCTCACAAATAACAAGCATTGTTACTACGATTGTTGTATGAAGGCAAACAAGCATCACTGGATAACTATTTCGTCCTAGTCCGGACTCATCAACACTAAATAAAATCTCAAACCACCAACATTCCTGCTGAGAGCCAAAACCCTTGGCACTACTACCATAATACGCGGACTCTGTGTCTATGAATTCTCGTGGAAACTGAGTGGAACACCGGGCATTATATTCCCCGAATGAGTTCCACCCCTGTCAGATTGGTCTGTTTGCCACGTGTTACACGTATTTTGGTAGGAATTTCGATGTTTTTGGGATAGTGAATAAGCAGCACACTTATTAACCCCTGTTGACCGGATGCACTCAAGAATAAGAATGAGAACAGGCCTAATTTCCCAGAAAATTTTAGCTGTGTGTAGGCCAAAATAAGCTTGATCGGTTAAGCGGTTCACTCACTCTTTCAAACTCATTACAAATTTTATATCTTCTTGATCGGGAAAATCTTCACGTGTGAATCGACGCACCAATTTGCCAAATCGACCGCCTTTCTGGCACCCGTAGCATGCCGTACCCACTTCTGGTTCCCAGCAAAAGTTTGTAAAATTATGAAATGGATGATGAAAATCGATTCGTTGCCCGTCCGAATCGGTCACCCCGGGGGCTCCGATAAACTCATTCGTACAAATGTCACAATGTTTCAGTCCTACCCAGTCCCAATAGGGCATTGCGAAGTCTTTAATCCCGTGAACTTTCCACGCGATCTCGGCCAGCATACGCTCCCAGACCAATAAGTAATATCGATGCCAAGTGGGAAATGTGGACCCGTCGTGATTGAAATTCAGAATTCCATAGTTGTCACACTTGTACTTGTCTCTGAACAGTGTGGTTCTGGAACCGTAACAGTGCATAAATGTGATGTAATACTGCACGCTGGCTGGTATGAATCGGGGCTTCTTGACCGGGTCAACACGTTCGTTTTTCGATTCATCCAAAACCATATAGTGTGATGGCCATGTCTGACTTCGAGTCATCACATCGATGAACACATGCAAATCGTGCTTGGACAGCTTACGGATATCTCGCCGAATCCGGAAATCCGGCTGATCGCAATTGGGACCTTTCCAGCCAAACCAACATTGCTCACACGCGACACCATAGAAACGATCATTGCACTGGCAAGCGTACTTAATAAAACGGACGGGCCATTGCAATCGGTCATCCACTCGGAATATGGAAGGGATCGGTTCTTTGGGAGCGAAGATTTTCTGACAATATCCTCGATGTGGGCCGCCACAGACGAGGCCATTATGCGGATCCTGTGGGCAACAAATCGCGTCCCCTTTAGTTGCATTCTGTACACATTGTTCCGGAATAAGTGCCCATAATGAACTGGGGAGGAGCAGAATCAATCCCAGGGCTAAGATCAACATGCTCCAGGAGAAAAGAATATCCAGATGTGTTTTCCGAATAGGCACTAAAGTATAACAGTGCACTGGCAAACTCGTACAACTCAATATCGCTTGGCCTGGTTGAGTGCAGAGTTTCGACGTGCACACTGAGTGCAGCAGTTTCGATCGGTCCGATTGTACGTGTCCGCCAGCGTGATCGATCACTCAGAGTGCAATGTGCAGCGGATTGCACGTTTCATCCGGTTTATCCCAGACAGCGATAACGAAATCGTCCCCGAGGCCAAACCAGACGGCCACAAAATGACCAGCTTGGGAGTGGGGGGAATTAAAACGAATCGTAAGGAAGTCTTCGGAGCCAAATCAAACTGAACCTTAATCTGCCCGAAGGGATACTTATTCAGCTAATCAGTAGTTTGATATTGGAAAGTTCACAACAAATGCGATTTAAGAAAAAAATATAATGGAAGAATAGAAAGACCATGTTTGCTCACGAGACCCATCATTGCCCTGATAGCTGATGAACTGGGTTTTCGTGCAAAACAAACATCACGTAATTCAGTGTATACACATCTGTGGCGCCGTCTCGACATCCAGATGTCTGTGGGGGGCTGAGTATCTGCTACAGCAGTTCAGCCAGTTCTGCTATACGGCGCAGAAACTTGGCCATTAAGAAAAAAGGGTAAAGATAGACTATCTGGTTTTGAACACCGATTCTACGTAGCATTGCACGAATCTGGTGGGGCAGCCGGATGACCATTGCTGTGGTTAGGAGCACAATTTTAGGTAAATGCGGTCGCCCACTGGAGCGAATGGTCGACATCCATCGATTACGTTGCTTGGGGTATGTGGTACGCATGTCACCGGATAGGTTGCCACGGCAAGAGATGTTCGTCGAGGCAGGTAGTGGGTGGAATAAAGCCAAGGGTGGCCAAGCTAAGACCTGGCATGAGTGTATGAAAACTCCAACCGGCAGACTAGGTCACATAGGTCCTGTTGGGCTCTCTGGCGTGGGACCTCTGGATGATCGTAACCGATGGTTAGAGGCACTGAGTGATATGGCTGGGTGTCGTGAACATTAGCGTTCGTGTATCTTCTCAGTTCCTCTGCAACATTAGTCCATTGAAATTCTAAATTTTCTCTTTGACCCTACTCTCAAACTTTCTTGTCCTTCTCCTAATGTTCATTATAATGGGTAGCCAAAAGACAGCAACCAAAACCGGCGCACGAGAGTGCATGGTGGATGGTTGCACAAACTGAGCTGAACTGAACATCTAATTTCTCGAAGCATGTTTATAAAAGCTGAAGAAGGAGGAACCATCCGAGTACATATTGTTGTTATTTATCATTGCATTTTCCGTGTTCGAATTGGGCCAAAGAATTGATTCCACAAGTTTCAGCGGACAATTCCAGTTGGCATTTGTGAGACTGTGCTATTGCTGTGCAAAGTTACCTACAGTGGTGGTGAAAATACAAACAGAGAGGTTGCACAAATTTTGATGGCTTTGCGATTGGAAGCCATTGACCGTAATTTTTTTATCGTTGTGTAAACCGGCCCTAAGCAGAATAAATACAACAGTAAAAGAAATCGCTTTCCACGAGATTTCACAGAGGAAATATCAATGCAATACTACATCAGCATGCGTTAATGTTTGCTCTGTGAAATTGTTTCTATCGCAAAGAGTGAGGAAAGGTAAGTTGTACGTTTGAACACTCGTTGGGCTTTATTTCAAGCTAAAGGATTTTTCATGATGGTAGTAAACACTGAAGAACAGGTGTAATCATGCTCATCAACAATGGGATAACACAAAAAACCAGTTGTAATACAATTGGAACAAAAAATTTCTCTGGCTGCTTTAAAAGAGCATCAACATACTTCTGGGTTTCCCCGATATTTTTGAACCCAAAACAGTGACGAAATGTTTCGGTGAGAACTGGAAGATTTTAGGATCTTGGGCAATCTATGACGAACCACAGGTATTCTCAGAATAAGCAGTAGGTTAATGGAGTAGTTATTAGCGTGTATCAGAAGGGAAAACGAATGATCCTTGCATAAATAAGTCACGTTATCGTGGCCACCCGGGGATTCAAGAAGCCGTAATCGAATGTGGATGTAACCTAACCAGAACTCCATGTATGGACACTGTGTACATGGTTGACAGAATGAATATCATTGCGATTAATTTTAACCGGGATATAAAAAAACGCTCTATCGGTACTAATGTATCGCTGTATTTCAAGAACTAAGGTACTACAATATTTATATGTTACTTTTCTACGAAGGAAATGGAAAATTTCCGCCAGTGCTCACTCGTCCGGAATCAGCTTGTGAGACAACACTGCTGGTCATTATCGTTTGAGATACATTTGAAAAGCTTTTGCAGGTGGTAGAGGGTGAGGGAAGGTCTGAGCACATTTGCCTCAGCAGCAGTGGGTGTTAAACACCACGGAAACTGACCGGATTGGAATTGAGCGTCCGAAAACTGGTTGTTTAAATAAATAAATAACTCTATTTTCGATGAACCTCACCATAAAAACTGGTTTTAACCAGTCTTCATTTATGCCAACAAACTGCTATATATTTTACTTATCAAAAAGAACATAGGTTTTGAAGAAAGGTAAAATTTGTGTTGCATGTAATTGGGGGCTTAGAGTCAACCTGTGACCGAAAGTGAAAGCCACAGTTACCACTCATCAGTTTTGCTTTTTCTTTCGGACTTGGGGATTACTCGAGATGTGGGGTGTGATAGAGGGGGTAGAGTGAAAGAGAGCCTGAGTGCTTGGATAAATTATTTTTGAATCGGTCAATCAATGGNAATCAATGGGCCACGTCAATCAGTTGTCAATACGTTCATCAATCAGCCCAGGACGGACTGTAAACCTATGGAATTAGTAAAGCGGGATTGTTGCCTTGCGATCATTGTATCTTGCACCAGGTATGATGATCCAACGCTCCGTGACACCGCCAGAAACAGAATGTCTCGATACAGCTTCAGAGCAACCACTGAAAAGTTAATGTTCTGGACCAATTACCAGCACTATTTTGTGTTTTGGTTGGGAGATCGATTGTGATTCCCTTTCTTAATTTCCGTCCAGTACGCTCACGCCACCATTTCAAATATTCAAGTAACCCTTGACATCAAAATAACTATTCAGTTACTCTCGTTTCGATACTACAACTGAATTATGAAAAAAGACTCCTCGGTAAAAACAATACAGCAGGCAGACAGGATCCAAATCGGCGCAGATACATATAACTTCATGGAAGTTACATTTGATACACATGGGGTTTACATGCATTTACCACACCCACAGACAATCATATTTGAACGTCAAGGTTTGATCAACATATTTGAGCGGCTTTGTTATCTTCCCACCTCGGGTTATTGGATCTGAACCCGGATAGTCCCATTGCTCATGAGACTCGCTACCAATAAAATCCAGTCAGCCCACTTTCTAAAACTCTATTTTGTAATTTACCATAGGCACAAGTGCAGGTATTAACCAAACTCGTGCAACATCATGACTTTTCCCAAATCTATTTATCTCACTGCCAAACGTTTTGATCCTCATGCACTGGAATGTGCATGGTATTACCCTAGGTCACTCGCAAAATTTTTATAATGGTAATAACTTATATGGTTGCTTTATTTTGCCGAGCGCGTTAGAAAAGTACAATTTCTCCATTTCGACTGTGCTTACTGACGCATCGACTGTAAGATAACCGAACATCTGTGGAGGGAAATAATAAAAAAAGATATGCTGTTTAAAGTACTCGGATGGAGCAGAATAAACATCCTCATGGTCAGAAAGAATAGAAGTCCGTGCTTATCTGCACCAAATGGTTTCTAATTTTAAAC